TATGATATAAAAGGCCATGAAGACGTAGGAGAATGCCTCGGATGGCACGTTAGCGCTGGGAAATTCTTATGTGGGTGTCAACCAGACCATAGTGATAGCTTACCAGAGCGATCATGACCATGTAATCGTTCGACTCCATGCGCTTCATTATGCCGGCACGCGTGTAAACTCGGGCAAAAACGAAAATGGTTGCTAAGCTGGTGAATGCAATGCTGATTGCCATTCCACTCTTGCCTCCACTAGAAAGGAAGGACTCATCGTCACCCCGCGGGTGCACGATGTGTTGAATGCTCGTACTCATTGTAGCAAAAAAATAACAGTATCTTTACAGCCTTGCCTCGGCAGTGGGGGAAATATTGAGAGAGAGAAAAGAATATAAAATAAAAGCCCCGTCACGATTAGAATCTCAATATATATCTCGAAGGGTAGCAGTTCGTGTGACAACCGAAGTCAGTCAACCATAACACAGGCCGCAATGGCCCTCATGTACGCCGTAGTACTCGGTGGCACATCTACGAGGCGCAAAGCCCATGGGCAGCTAGCTGAGGAATGGACTGAAATATAAACGTCACCCGAGACCCAGATAAAGCACCTTAGACGTGGAGATTCTCCTTGTCTCATTTGCTTCTCCAGGTTTGCGGGTCTAACGCTAAGGCAGTGACAGGGACTAGGGCTAAAGTCTCATGAGGACAAAGGGGAGAAGATAGGAAAGTAAGGGAGAGGTCGAATAAGCTAACCATAGGAGGAAGCTACCGTAGTAGCCTTTGACGTTAGCACGTCGATAGGTAGAGTTCTCCATTTTCTTGTCCTTTCTTTCCTTTTTTTTTTCCTTTTACTTTTCGTGGCTTCAAGCCTTGATCTGGGTTGTGGAGCTAAGGAGGGCCCCTGCAACATAAGGATAGCGGCGAGTTCCAGCCCTTTGGACTCGACTCGATAATGGATTCAAAACGATCGACAGTGACAGTAGCAGCTAGTCCATGAAATAACCCGGTCCAGTCAGAAAGGATGTGGATGATGGATCAGCGACGTATCCAAACCTTCCAGAAACGTTCAACCCTGTGCATATGCAGTGGCAGTCATGATTTGCACAGAAAGAGGTACTTTGTACTCGATCTTAACCTACGCACCAACTTAAAAAAAAAAAAAAGGAAAAGGAAAAGTAGTCACAGTTGTATGCCTGACAGTTCTGTCGTGATGTATACAGCGAGCTCCGGTCTGAGGGTAGCACGATCGTGGCGACGAACAGGATTCATGCCCTAGGGGGCTGCATCCGGAACTGTCAGGGATAAATTCCCTCGGTGCACCCCCCAAGCAGATTGCAGTGTTTTATTTATTTTATTTTATCTTATTTTATTACTTTAGCCTTTTCTTTCCTAGTTGATTCTTCCAAGCTTCACACGCTCTAATTTACACAAGACCGTTCCTGACATCACTGTTCCTCTCGCCCTGGAAAGGAGTATCCAGTTAGGGCAAGGCTATACTTGGTAGGGTCTTTGAGCAAGGGATGCATGTATACACTTTCTTTATAACCTCTGGACCCAGGAGAGCTCAGCGGCTCTTATTATGCTTTCATCTTTTTAAGAAGTCCCGGTGAAAAATGCACGTCCTAAAGGAACTCGACCGGGCCAGTTCGGGAAAATACGATAAGTCAAATTCCCTTTCATGGTCTTTGAAAGGGAACGGGGTTCCGCGAGTGACATAGCCACTTTGAATTAACGCACATGCAGGAGAGGGTGAAAAGTACCGTACAGCTGGATCTTAACTTCCATATGCAGAAGCACGGATAGTCAGAATTAGTCGCCATGCGATTATCGTGTGTTGGTACGATGGAACGGTGGTGGCCCGTGAGTGTGGAGTGTGCGTCAATGGAGTTGATACCTCACAAAGTTTCCCCACACCACAATACTAAAACGAAGGGTTTTCACAATAATATCGTTTCATAATGCGATTTATTCGCAATTATCGACTGTAGAGTTTGGGGCCATTCGTCTCTCACTTTTATGGGCTTAGTTGTATACTATCGTCCTTGGAAAATCGGATTGCAGCTTTGGGCACAACAGTTCAAGTCCGAAAATGATAGCGTCAACTCTACTGGGCTAAGAGACCCCTATAATTGGAATCTTCTAACGAGACCATTCGTCTCCTTCAGGTAAGCGTTGGGCTCATTGAACTTAATGCTGAGGTGCGTTGAGTCTACCGATCTAGATTTGCTTTATTAGAACCTCATCGTGGTTTTACTCGTGGCGCCGAGAATAATGGACTCCTGGTATGCTTAAGCTTGCACTAAAGATTTTGACAGTTATCATTGAAGTAAAAACCAGTGACAGCCATTAATTCGGAGCTATCGATAGCCGGTATACTATTACCTCTCATTATTCCATCTCCAGTAGCACATGTGAGATGTTTGCCCTAATGGATATGGGTTGGCTCGATACTACCGACAGGGTAGGGCACCCCAAAAAAAGACTGAAAAAGCTACGAAATCCCATTTAGATGGCTAGTATATCCTGGTAATATGGAATATAAAAGAATAGGGCAATGCAGTGGAGTTAATATATCACATAGCTCCATCTGCAGAGTCTGTGCGAGACTGCAAGAGGCACCCAACCAGGTTCCTGGTCTGGCTATTTATATATTCACCGGTCAATTGCAGCTAGATATTATAATTATTTGTTTTGTTTTGTTCTTTTCTTTTCCCCTCCTTTATTATGATTATCGAATCATTAATATAGATCAAACCAAGCAATTCTTAGCTAGGTCGTTGAAGAATCTGCACGTTGACATAATTGTACTATTCTTTCTCTTTCTGTTTCGCGTCTCTGATTAGGTTCCCCAGACCTCCAATCCGGTAGCGTTGGCCATGAGCATCATAGCACCCACCACCCATTTATGTCGAAATCCAACCCTTCAGGAGACTCATTTAGCTTTGATGCCGTCGAGATTGCATCTGACCATCCTCCTTGTTCTTTTTGGGATACTATTTCTGCTGTGCTACGTAAAGTACTACCGTACCTTCGTAAACCATGCATGACCGATGGCACTAGTAGCGCAGCGACATGGATGTATATTCATGTACGACTAAGTATGCAGGATGCAGTACTACTTGTGGCCTGACCTTGGAGACCTTGCTATCGGTTGGTCCCTAGTAATTTCTTTTCTTGTCCTCCTCTTCCCTCCGCTTTTTCTTGACCATTAGGCAGTAACCCATCCAAAAGTTGGAACATAAAAATATCCATGAGCTACGCAAATATATGTTGCAAAAAGGATTTATGTGTGCCTAGGTGGCACAGCTTGCTATACGATATGTCCTGCCTACCGTCAGTAGTCGAAAGACTGAGTGATATTTCTGCCGTTCGGTTCCTGGTCACATCCCGGTATCCTACCGTAGGCTTTCTACATGTACGCCCGCATGAAAGCATAGTGCGTGGACTTTATTGATTACTTATCCCGCAGGACTATAGATCTGTATCGCCAGAACCTTTTGATTGCTGTTGATTGACTTTGGACCATCCAGCATCCGGATTGCAGGTATATATTATATATATATACTACTGATGCAGAACAGATCGGCCAAGTAGAGCATTTCTTTGCTGGCTTGATATGATGTAGGTCCCGTTTCGTCCTGAAATTGTACCAATAACAAGGCGAGCGATTATATCCATGACTCCGTCAATTGGATATACTGTATGGCATGATACCGACTCTAGGTACTTGGTGGGCCAAGCCTTCGATTCTCGATGGGTAGGGGAAGCTCAACCCACGAGAACGTGGTCGATTGCGTCCCAAGAGAAAATAAGAGGAGGTGGGGAAGAAAAGCAGGAAGAGAAGGAAAAAAAAAATTACTTTGCCCCGTCGGCTGGACTCGCTAGGTCCTGCCTAGCTTTTCCTTTTTTAATTTTTTTTGAGAATATTTTTTCCGAATGCAGATCGAGGCATTATCTAGATTGTTTGTTACTGGCACGCGCTATAGCGAAGGTTACATATAGTCGACGCCAATTACGAGGATCAACGCGCCCCCTCCATGGTCGAACAACAGCCCACCGGTGACCATAGTACGTTAGTGTTTGCCATTTCATGTACATAGTTATATTCTGAGGTTGGATCTATAAGTAATTTTGAGTCCTGGGGATACACAATGGCAAGTGTATCTAAACCGGGGAGAGCCTCTTTTCTACCTGTCAATTTCTCTTATCACTGATTGATCACATGTTTAGACGAAGACTCATAGCTTTATTGACAGGGGGGGTTTTTTTTTTTTTGGATACCAGCCCAGCCATGGTTCAATCAATCCACCGAACGGTCCAGATCGAGTGTCGACCGGACTAAAGATCCCGGTCGTACTCTTTCTTTTGTTGACGGCCGATCACGTCCCATCAGGTCGAAGCTAATCCATATACCTGGTGATCTTAGGGCGAGCTTAACGGTTGTGCCGATAGAGGTTTAATCTGAGTTTAGCTCCTCAGAACTTGTACCGGGTCGAGTAGCAATATTATCCTGTTGTTGCTTTCATGCAATGGGCTTCTTTGTTGCGGACATCGTGAGTGGTGACCGCCCCCCGTGACATGTCAACTATGGTGGTATAGCGACGAATGATCCATGTCTCAAACTTGCATGATGCATTATTTCCGAAGGATTTTTTTTCTGCAGAGATTTGTACGAGTTCAATTTTCATCTTCAAACTATATTCCTTGAAAACTTTTCTTTGGTCTTTTTTCTGGGGATAGCGGATAAGCATGTACTTCGTAGTCCATCGACCTGTACGGAGTGCTCCGTACCAGGTACCATACATCAGAACCCACCTGACAAATGGTCCTATACTAGTGTGTATGTACGTACTCTGTACTCGGTACTGTTATCTACGTACTACGGAGTACTGGTACATACCTACTAGAACTACTACTGCTGTTAGGTATATACTGTACCGTATTTGGTGGATCCAATGGTGTTGGCTGCTGATAAGCCCACGCGCTAAGATAAGGATAGTGCACAGACCAGCTAAAATTCCAGCGAAATTAAATCAATCCAACCCACTTTGGCGGAAACGTTTGAGAACCAACTGATCACAACGTCCTACAGATCTCATTCGCACGTGCTATTCTCTCCGTCGCTGGAAGACTAGTATATCGGATCACCAAAAATGGCGGATACGACATCGCCGCCCAAGCCCGTCCATACCATCGTCCTCGATGCTGGCCCTATCCTGAAGAATACCCCGCCGTTATCCACCCTTCTCGCACAATGCGAGGAACTTCTTATCACTCCATCGGTGGTCAGTGAAATTCGCGATCCCGATGCCCGACTCAGAGTTGAGACTATGTATCTGCCATTCTTAAAACAGCGGACTCCGACCCCGAAGAGTGTTAGTGTATTGAGCGAATTCGCCAAGAAGACTGGCGATAGGGCCGTTCTGAGTAGAACTGATATTGAAGTTTTGGCGCTTGCATATGAAGTAGAGTGTGAAAGGAACGGTGGCGATTGGCGGCTGCGCAGCGTCCCGGGACAGAAACAGGTGAATGGCAGGCCACCCGTTAAGGAGGAGGCAAAAAAGCCCGAGACAGCAGATGAGTCTAGCCAGATCGAGGAGAAGACCGAAAGTCCCGAGGTTGATGCGGTTGCGGAAGGCCTGAAGGACACGGCTCTAGAGAAACCGGAAGAGAAGTCACAGGATGAAGCCGCTGCTGCGGAAGAAACCAAGCCAGCCGAACAATCAACCCATGAAGAGCCCCAGGAAGAGGACGACGAAGCCGCTGACTCGGATGGCGGAGAATGGATCACCCCTTCAAACCTGAAGAAGAAACAAGCCCGCGATGAGGGTATCTCTGCGTCGGCGACACCGGAGCCCAAGGTCATGCAAGTCGCGACGATGACGACCGATTTTGCCGTAAGCGCATCCCGTTTCCATGTATGTCACCTATACGTCGTGACTGACTATGATTTAGTGTCAAAACGTGTTACTCCAGATGAACCTGAACCTACTTTCGACGACAACCTTACAGAGAATTCGCCATCTAAAGTCCTTCATTAAACGCTGTCACGCTTGTTTCTTCACGACTAAGGACATGAACAAGCAATTCTGCCCACGGTGCGGAAAAGACACCCTTACTCGTGTCTCTTGCACCACCGATGCCAATGGGCAGTTCAAGATGCACCTGAAGAAAAACATGCAATGGAACAACCGAGGAAATGTATTCAGTATTCCCAAGCCCACCCACGGAAGCTCTAATGGAAAGTGGAAAGGAGGCGGAGGTAAAGGTGGCTGGGGAACCGAACTCATTCTCGCCGAAGACCAAAAAGAATATGTCAGAGCTACCGCCGAAGAAAGCCGACGACTTCGGAAGGAACGGGACCTTATGGATGAGGACTATCTCCCCGGAATTCTGACCGGAGAGCGAAGCAAGCATGGTGGTCGGGTCAAAGTTGGCGCTGGTAAGAATGTGAATTCAAGGAAGCGGTAATTATTCCACGCTGCACTTTTCGCATGGATATTGGATTGGAGTTCGGCAAAAACAAAAATTCTACGATTACTTGTCTTTTCCTCCGCTGCATGGGTTATGACGGTGGCCGATTCGTGACGGTTCATAGAGAGCATAGGGCATATATAAGGGTATAGATAAAAGTTGTCCTCTCTATACGAGAGGCTGGACTATTATGACCGAGTATGAGCATTACTTTTGTGGAATCCCTCATGCAAGTGGTAGGCATTAAAGAGGCCCCCCGAAAACGTCTCATTTAGATGTCCGCACGTAACACCATTCGCCAAAAGAACATGATTTCCAAACAGCACCTATAAAACAACCAGGTTTATCTCATGATTTCGCACTCTACAGCTCAGAGGTTTGCAAATCTGACAAGAGAAGTTAGCCGTTGATCTAAGTTGAACCTCGGAAGCGAGCGTTTTCATACCCTTCTGCTGGGTCAGGAGGAGACCAAATCTCCTCTTCAAGGTCACACGGTGGCGAGAGTACTTGTCATCGGGCGAGAAGCTTTCCCATTGTTAACCACAGTATCCTCGATATCGATCGAATGAACCCTTACCGAGCAGGATGAGCGCTCTTGGTGACCTTTCCCTCAGGGGTAACTTTCTTGAGGGTATAAACCCGCTTTCCCTCGGCGTCCAGAGTGTACTATTAAAGATCGTATTAGTTTCTGCTAGACGTGCCCGAACTCCAATGATCATGTTTTGCAGGGTGGTGTAGGGGCGTTGCTTTTGTGGGAACGTACCATAAGATGCATCCTAGTGAAACAGTGGTCAGCGATGTTCATACTAATCGGATTTTGTAAAAATTTAACTTACTTGAATAGAGTTGTTTGGTCGGTTACTGGTGAGGAAGTATAGGTTCTGGAAAGGATTTCACTGTCCGTTAAGTCTCCCGCAATCACCAAAACCCATTTTTTTTTTTTGCCAGACATAATGCGCACGGGCCACTGGATGTGCTTAGTCACCCTGGCCTTTATTAGGCGGCTCCCAATCACAGTCTCAGCGGAATTTTTTCTTTTCTCTTTTGTAAACCACCAGTTTTGACGTTAGGGCAAAAACAAGAGATCTGGGATGATGATGAGCATCCATCGTGACGTCGCAATATGACGATGTTTGGATATCTCTTACTACTTATCAATTGTATTTAGTTTTTCACAGCTCTTGGTAACAACCTGTCCGTGACCGCGTCCGTCACATCCAGAAAAAAGGCTTTTTCTGGTAAGCAAATGCAACTTCAGTCGGAAGCAAGACTTGCAGTTGATCTCCGGTGATGACACCAATATACCTAAACCTAGGCAATGGCACCTTGATTTCTTCGCTGTTGTCGATGAAGTGGTTTAATTGACTACAACGGTATCTGAGGAGAACAACCAACGTCAAATCTTTTGCATCGTCTCGTAAAGAAGAGTTCCATGCTGACTCTTCCCTTATGTAGTATACTATCAATACAATTTTTTTTTTTTTTTTTTTTTTTTTTTTTGCTTTTATTAGTTATGACTCAATCCAATCCAATGCCCAGTCCTGCCCCCGAGGCTGCAGCTGCCGCTGTGAAGTCCGAGTCCACAAACATGAATGCCCCCCAATGTCGTCCTGGCCGGTTCTCTAGGCCCAACTACAGAGAAATTCATCGTTTCCCTCTTCCCCTCAGTGTGCATCCTCTTCCTCCTTTAATACCACATAACCCTCTGTCCATCGTCAGCGTGCTGCTCTCGTATCTGACATACTTGATTGCTCCCCCGCACCATGAAGTCTACTCGGCCTACTTTGATTCCGAGACATCATCCGTCCATGTTACAGATGCAAAAGCCATCCGAGCATTGTGGGAGATGGGCTTCTTCGGTAAAGGAAGTCTGAGTCGAAGTGAGCCTAGCTGGTTGGAACGGGAGAAGAAGAGGAGAGGATTACTCGGTGGCGTTACCAGTGAAGAGGTTACACGTCAGCGAAGAACCGAGCGTCGCGAGTTGAAATTAGAGAGGGCAAGGATGGAGAAACTAGCTATCGAACAGAGACTCATGGCGGAAGCTGCCGCGAGGGAAGCTGGCGACGCATCGATTGACCAGTCGGCTCTGCCACTATCCGCAGATGGTGTCACTAGTGGCATACTTCCTTCTACAGAGAAGTTTTCCCTGAGGAAAGCTAGGGAAGCCAAATTGTCTGAGTCACAACGTTCGGTAGCACAAACGGATGGAGCAGATGCACCCGACGCCCCTGATATCTCTCCCTCCAGTGGGGGCAAAACTGTACGGTTCTCTCCGGTCGTTCAAGCAAAGGAGTTTGTTTCCGATTCGACTGTCGTGTGTGGGCCCAATTCGGCTGTTGACGAGCATGGAATGGAGGATGAGCCTTTATTGAACAATGAAGAACACCTTCAACTATCTAACGAGGAGGCTTTCTTTCTGGTATACGGCCTTGGCGCTCTACAGATCGTCGATGCCAACCGAAATGCCGCTTTGTCCCCCCCTTCTCTACTGTCTCGGTTCTGTCAGCATTCTTACTTCCCTCCTCGTGATTTTTCAGCTAATTTAGAACCGGACGACCCTTTCATGATATCCTACATTGTGTATCACCACTTTCGGACCCTTGGATGGGTTGTGCGGTCCGGAGTGAAATTTGGAGTGGACTACCTCCTCTATAATCGCGGGCCTGTCTTCTCGCATGCAGAGTTTGCAGTTGTGGTCATACCATCATTTGAGCACCCTTACTGGTCCGAGACCGAGGAAAGGAAGGCTCATTGTACTAGGAGACAGGCGCGCAGCTGGTGGTGGCTCCATTGCGTTAACCGAGTGCAAGCCCAGGTGAAGAAGAGCCTGGTGGTCTGCTATGTGGAAGTCCCACCACCCATGTTCGGAGAAACCAATGTCTCCTCAGAGGATATCGGTGCTCTTCTTGCTCGTTATACAGTACGAGAGATGTTGATCAGGCGATGGGTCCCAAACCGGACTCGAGACTAGCGTGGTGTCCTCTTTTGTTTACATGTTTTTATACAACTTATCCATCTGAGAATGACCGATCTCCTCGTCCGAGCGGTAGCCGAAGGAACTCACCATTGGCCATGTAATTCTATGTAAATCAATTTACACTGATTTCCGCCATGTACATCAAAGTAAAACACCAATACAAAATTTATTGAGTGTCCCCAAGTCGACCTAGTCCTATAGCGGCAATATTAATTTAGTCACGTGAGCAACGCGTTTCGCGCACTTTTGGTTCCGGAGGTCGAGAACATCTTGCTATTCGAATTACCTAGGCATGTAACGGCGATGGGCGCATTTAAAGGCTTCGGAGGATAAATTACCGCTAATACCGTGTCCAATAATCTACCGGTTGAAGGATCATGGAGACCCAGGATGACAGTATCAATATCCCACAGTTACAACGCGTCGCGTTGGGACGAGTGAGTGGTCACACTGGTGGCGCTGTGATCTCGATTGCTCTAACACCAATCACCTGCTAGGAACCTGCACAATCCCAGTCGCTAATACCCGGGCCCGAGCTTCTCAGGATTATCCCCCAGAATAACATCGTCGAAGAGCACTACTCTCAAATCTCTGATGGTCGTCAGTCATCTACTAGTACTGGCCACGAGGTCCCCCGGAAATCCCCGTCGAGTCGTCCCGAGTCGCCCTTTCAGGAACAACATGCTAAAAGCTTGACAAACGCCCCTCGATTGTCCTTTGAACGAAGAAGACAAGACCCTGCCGCTGGATTGCACCCTTCTAAGAAGATGAGCTCTGCAGACACAGTGCCTTCGGACACCCAAGTTATCTCGCAGTCGGTTTATGACGACCTTATAAGACAGAACCAAGAAGCTGTCGATAATGGCTCGGACAATAATCTTGCCGATAATGCAACTTTGAGGACGCTGCATGAAGGTGATATTGGTCATGTGGATTTGCTGGCTGGGTTTGACGGGCCAAACACCGATGCAACCAATGGCGATGATAACGAGGATCAGAGCAGTTTCAAGCTAGGGGAGTCATCTCCGGTGCACTATCAGCCGAATCTCTTTCCCGAGTCCCAGCGCTTTGTGTCGAAGACTCCGGCGACAGCAGTAAAAACAGGGCGTGTCGATGGTCTTGCTGCAGTGACACCCACAGCGTCGAGGAACCCTCTCGCGACGGAGCTTGAATCAAGCGGTGGTGTCATGGCCCTAAGCCAAGTATTCAAAGCAACCCAGGCCCCTTCCTCTCCCCTTGTTCATGGCCAACAATCGGATCCAATTTTTGACCGGCCTTCACCTAATCTTCCCATTCAAAATCGCTCGCTTGCTACAGCTTTGTCCTCGCCGTTAAATAACGTTGCGGCAACCTTTCCCCAGGATTCCTCAGAGCCACATCTCAATTATATCACCATGCAAGAATCGCAGGCGCAGAGGGATATAATCCTACGAGAGAGGATGACGCGCTCTGCAGACCATATATACTCGGAAGATCAAAGCGACGGCGAGTTTGATAAAGAACCCAGCTTCGTGGAGCGCATAAGGCGACAGAGAAATATCGATGAGGTAACTAGGGAACAATTGGCCGGTCTTTCGGCTCCCCCAAGACCAGCAAGTCACAGGAACGCAGATAAAATGAGCAAGTCACCTAGCAGACAACCAGACTCTCGAGATCGGGCAGATGCAGTCAAATCCATTACGCCCAGCATCGAGCACCAAGGAAACGCTGCAGCAGGCGCAACCAGTGAAGAAGAAACGGAACAAGAGGATGAGTTTTGTCAACGGATGTGTCGGTCTCAAGACCCAAATCCTTCAACTGAAGAGGATAAGGAAAATCATAATGATCCCTCTACAACCCCGCTAGCTGCCGCGACCAGTGCCCATGATCGTCTCTCTCAAGCACTTGCTCTTGATGGAGCTCCACATCCTAGCCGCAGAAGGTCACTACAAGATGCTGCAGAGTTCCACTTGCCTCCTCATGGTGCTGGTGATGAACAAGCAGATGGTACTAACAGCTCATCCCAAGTATATATTGTGAAGGACTCTCAACGATCGCCGGGTCCCCAGGACGAGGAAAATCACGGAAGGAATGATGCTGAAATGTGGAATGAGAACCAGACCCAGGCTTTCGGCTTACACATTTGCTCAAAACGTTCCCCAGAGAAGCTTGTGTCTCCTGCGAAACAGCTCCGTATACAGTCAACTCCTCCCTCAGCATCCCAAAGAAGTCGAGTCTCGTTTCGACTGGATGACGAGGGTCTAGTAGCTCGATGCAGAACGAACTCGACTAGCTCACATGGTTCTCACGAACAACCACCGAGAAAGTCCATTGCCCAGGAAACTAGCGTAATGCAATCTAGCAATTCAACTGTGCATAAATCTATAGAATTAGGCGACAAAATACCGGCATCCGATATCAAGGAGAAGTCATCTTCGATGCCCTCTCGCGTGGCTGAAACACCTGTTCAGCGTCCGAAGAGCTTTAGTGATGTGGTACCAGCGACAGCTATCCCAGAAACGAGCCCTAATCGATTATTTAACCAAAGCTGGGCAAATGACGTGAACAATGAAGCAATGGATCAAGAAGACGACGACCTCCCTCCTCATTACTCGTCCACACATGAACGAGGACATCATTCCCAACCAGTCAATTCGAATAGCTCGTCGCCAGTGAAGAGCTTCTATAGTTCCAAAATCCTATCTAGTCCAAGTGGAAGACAGCGTAGAGCACTGACAGAGATTGCAGCTGATGCTTCGCCTCAAATCGGGACGGGAAACTTCGATGTTGATATTAACATCTTATCCGCCGACGATCGAGAATTCAGATCTGCTGTTGCACTGTCTCCAGTTCCACCAAGAAAGAGACGTCGTGGAAATGATGGCCAAAGTGTCTTCGCCTCTGACCCAGTGCTTCCTATTACACCCCGTACCGCCACTTACTTTGCTCCCCCAAAGGGAAATGAAACGATCCCGGCCCGGGACCCCAAGCCGGAA